TCTCAGTTGCTTTAATGTCAAGCTTCAGTTTAAGATTCACCCTGTAATAGATGTAAAACATGTGATGGAGCATTACTAACCTGACCCAAACCATCTAGGAAAGCTCCCTTGGAAGCCATTTGGAAAGGGCAGGCACTTTCAAAAATACTTGATTGGATCAATCTGTCCATCACCTTCTATCATGGGCCACTTCGGATTGGTTAACAATGGCTGGTACATGTGGAGCACAGCACTTCTGATTGGTGTGGATGACTGACACACAAGAAGAAAAAAAAAAAATGTGTAAATTATTCTTATTTTTTTAAATGTTAAAAAGAAACGCAGGCTTTGCGCTTTGATAATCGCATCATTTCAAATCGCAATTTCGATTTAAAATCGATTAATCGTTCAGCCCTATAAGATACCACGCTCATGAGAATAGGATAGATTTGAGTTCAGTGTCCTTTAAACCCTTAAAATCTAATCAGTTGACTCACATTGTGAAACATTAGTGCCGTATTTGAAAGTTTTTTAGTTTTTTTGGGCACAATAGGCTGAAATGTACAACTATTTGAATGCAAGACTTTTACTTGAACCAGAGTATTTCTACACAAATATATTGATTTTCCCAGCTGGATTCTACATCACATGTACAAGCTAAACCCAGCTGCAGTAGAATCTTTAACTATAATCCTCAATGATAAAAGTCGGATTAGCATAGAAACTAATATCACAAGCTTAGCTATACCCCTCTATGTATTCCATTTAAAAACATGAAACATTACAAAAAACTATTATTGCTGCTTGGAGTCAAACAAGTGATGAGCAGTTTTAATTGTCGACATCATGAGGCTTAGAGGAGTGGAAGTTCAGAGAGAGGACGGTGGTGACACTTTCCAGAAAGACGGAGACAGACTGAGCCCAACTGTTTTTTTTGCTGAGTGCTTCCAAATTGGTCTGCTCTAACCTTTCTTCCATAACTTTAAACATTGGAGGAGGAGCCATCCTTTCTTGCAGGGGGAACATGGGTTCCTTTTAGCTTCAGTTTGTTTGAGTCCATTGATATCAAGCTCACTGTGAATGGAGTCTGGGGAATGTAGGTGCCTTTGTGTACATGCTGACGGGGCAGTTACGCTCAGGGAGAGTCACGTCCCTTTTTGTTAACATCTCCCCTAGCATTCTCAACACGTCAAAAGTTCTACTTGAAATATAGTCAAACATTTGGGAGAGAAACTCTTTGATTGACCAAAGCACCAATGTGTTGGCATGACTGGCTGCTTTGGCATTACTAGGGTTGGGAAGGTTACTTCAAAATGCTATTTCGTTAGTTATTAATTATCTGTTAAAAAAATGTAACAAGTAAGCAGGCTTGGGGGGCAACAGATTACATGCAACGGGATTACGTAATCATGATACAAAACAACTACTGTATTCCTTTACAGTTACATAAAAAAGACAATATTGCTGATACATTAAAAAAGTTAGTTTAACTCGGTGCTTAATGAATCCTTAATTAACCATATCAAATTACAGCCAGCATTTGCTACGGAATACGTTAATATATTTGTCGTAAGCTATTATATAGCAGGATCCAACATTTCTGATTACATTTGGATTAAATGGTGCTTTTAACAAAGATAAATGCCAAAGTGGACCGATTATTTGGAACTGTGAGCGCCTTCCTCTCCGTCCCCCCCTGCTCCACTGCTCTGTGTCTGGCAGGCTGGAGCCCGGTCTGGAAAACCCTCGCTGAGACACAGGAAGTCTCCAGGTGGCCCTGCAGCGCTCTGCTTTCCCTCTCCTCATCACTCCACTGCTCTAATGTAATCAGAGAGGCAGCGCAGGTGCTTGGCGCGTGCGCGCGCGTGCGTGCGTGTCTCTGAACTGAAGGTGTGATTGACATTTTCTCAATGACGTCAATTTCCAGCAAGTGTTCCTCTGAAGGAAATGAGGGATGTCCAATTGAATTAAGTCGTAACAAGCACATGAAGCGAAGAGCGCCGGGGATGGAATCTTTTGCATTGTTGCCGTGGAGACAGGCATAACAAGTAAATGATGATCAAGAGACCTGTGTGTGTCATTTTACTTTAGTATAAGTGATAATACCACAGTTTAGGATATTCTGTATGTAGGATATATATAACATTATGTTGTTTTTTTGTAGAAACGCACAATTTATTGTAAAATGAATCTGAACGTTTTGATCCGTCATGATTATAAAGTAAGGCAATAAAAAAGAATTAACCCCATTATCCGAGTTTAAAAAACAAAATGTGTTGAGTCCTACATAGTTTACAAGGAAATTATGAAAACGAACAAATTGAAATGTTAACAAAAATGACATCTAGGCAAGTGCTGATACACAAAAAGACCCCCTCTGAGGTTAGGAGTAATGGAATGTTGGTGGTTCTAGTGTTAAAGAACCCAACGTAAACATACTTTTCAGTTTATGATTAACGACCTTATTGAGGCATTAATATGTAAGTCATTTGAAATGTGCAGACGCTAAAGGTGGAGTGACCTATAATACATTTTTCTAAATAATATGAATCTCGTAACTGAGTTTGTAAATAAATGTAAGGGATACAAAAAGTACAATAAAGGAAGATTAGTAAAGTATTTTGCGGTATAAATAAAAATACTTAAAATGAATTACTATTTGAGTAATTGCACTCCTTTACTTTGCACTACTGTGTGTATGGGATGAGTGGGGGGGTACTGGACTTACCGTCTGGGACCTGCAGCTCTCTGTAGCGCGTCAGCTGGCTCGGGAGGAGGGGCTTCGTGTGAGCGTGCTCAATGAGTGTGTCCTCCAGCATCTGCATCATGCCAAGAGCCGACTGGAGAACACAGGGAGGGAAAGCAAACGTTTCCTTTATGTTTAAGGACAATTCTACTATCAAAAAATAAAATGCATTTAGCTATGATGATTAACTACGGTATTCAATAATGTCCAATTTCCATTTCTCCTATTTCAGTTACTGATATTTTTTAGGTGGAGCATCAGGCAGTATAGAATTAAGTGTTCGATACCCCCATCCACTTGTTGATTCAAACACTAATTGAGAGAACACAAGAGAGAGACTTTAGTCTTTTAACAAACATTAAAAGAGTGCCGTTGGGTCAGCTTCATATTCCAAATTGGATTTATATTCCACCCTTTATTAACTTCCATGTGTATCGGTTGGATTTCATTTGAGACTCTTCTGTTGCAACACTAATACAACAGTGAACTGAATGTAGCTTCTAAGGCATCCAAAAGAAGGCATGTCGGTCTGTTTCCAGAAACAAGATCATCCACAGAGCACAGTGTGGACACTTTCAGGACTTTTGAAATGAGTCCACAGAAAATGGCGGAATTCTGTGGCATATATGTTGGCTCAGTAGCAAGTAACATCATAGCACCTCTTAGGGAAAACTAATGTCTTCTAAATTACTGAGCCTTAAAAATTAAAGATGGCAACAACAAAGAAGCGCCTTTACTGTAGCGTTAAGTGTAGACTTATTAATGCTAAAGTCAAGTGTATAAAATCCCTCGGGAAGGTGTTATGGTGATTTAGAGGTTCAGCGCAGGGTTAAACGGTGCAGTTAAAGTATTTTATGAAAGAGTTGTGCATGTGGGACAACATTTCAGTACTAATTGTGAGGGTAGCGGTAAATGAATGTGAATGTAAAAGAGATGGAGGAATGATTTGCCTACAAGTGACTAAATCAGACTACTGAACATCATCACGCTGAACATTAGCTGCATTTAGCCTAGCAGTGGTGACATGAAGTCATGTGACCATCATGGAGTTTGTGTATAGCATTTTACTACTGGCAATTGGAACCATTTAAAGATCACAAAGTGGTGTTGATATGTGGATATTATCCTGTTGAACAAAACGTGACAGGATCATAAATGTGAGTCTGCACAAAGCGTATTTTTGGAAATATTCTGAAAACTGATGGAAAAATCCCATTGCTTTTAAGAGACCTTGCAATGCCCACCCCCCAATACTGGGTCAGCCTTCATCAATACATCATCACTGGTGAGGTTGTTCTCGAAACAATAAATGCTACATTGCTAACGCCTTCATTAAAAATCTATATTATATTGTAACATTTCCTGCCCTCTAATTGGCCTGTTATATTAGCAAGTAAAACATTTTCCATCTTTAGTACAGCCTAATATTACATACAGATCTTTACATATAATTGCCTACAACTACTTGGTGAGTTCTTGCTCTGTCATTATTGGAGCAGGTGACAATCGCGATGAAATGGATGAGCATAATGCTTTCTCCACAAAACGGTCAATTTAGGATGGGACCTCAGATAATAAGTATGACACGATGGCAGGGTCTTATAAGAATATAATCCTCTGTCATAGCATTGGAGGGCAATAATAAGTGCTGAAGGTGACCCAGAGAATAAAGGGTGTTTAAATATCCATTAAGAAAAAAGGAACATGTTTTCAAGCTCAAAATGAAAGGAGTAAATGGCATTTCCTCAGCTGGCATTAAATAAAAACAAAACAGTGACTAACCTCCTTTGTGATGTTGCCATGGAGAAGGGTTTCAATATGTAACCGTGACAAAAGCTGAGGTATGAAGGCCTTGAGGCGTGGGAGCGTTACATCTAGAATAAAGATCACAGCAATCAATCACAGAGTAATTTCCCAAGCTGCCATCAAGACGGAACACACACACACAGAGAGAGAGAGAGAGAGAGAGAGAGAGAGAGAGAGAGAGAGAGAGAGAGAGAGAGAAAAGGTGTCTCAAAGCCCCCGTACAGGGACAGGTGCAGGTTTTGACCCTGCAGGTTAATTAAGTGTCATGTGAATTCGAGGGTATTCTGTGGGAGCTCCGTGTTAAAAAGAGAAATATAGCTATCTGCTCCTCAGGTTCCACTGCGGAGAGCAAAGACTGCAGCTTGGGAAGCATCTGCTGGAGGACAGCCTCAGCATTCAAATGAGGGTTTAAAGGAGGGGAAAGAGCAGCTCTATCAACTGTAAATCAAATAAACTAAACTTTTAGATAACAACGTCAAGCCTATAAAACTGAGAAATAGTGACATAACCCACTAATGGCCATTAGTTTGGGAAAATGTCGCAAGGACAAAGATGTAGGACACTTTCCCTTGCAGTGAGCGCACTAATCACAAGACCCTGCTGATGACTTCTTGGAAACAGCAACTTGTTTATAGTTAGCATTTAAGACAATGCTTGAGCGAAATACTTGATTCTCCTCGTAAACTTGTTGATTATTAAATTAGGGCTGTGTAGCGGACTTTTCTATGATGTTCTACCTTCAAACTAACAGTGTTTTGCTTTACATTACGATATACACATTAATGCATCAATAATCATGCAGTAATATAAAATAACTCATTCTCAAATGGGCCGTTACGCATAATACTTACTTTTACTTTCATGCTAGTCCATTTTGATGCAGGACCTACCGAGTAATTTTACAATGTGGTATTCTACTTTTACTGAATTAAAACCACTGAGAATTTCTTCCACCACTGGCTATAGCTGTTGAAAGTGTGTTGCTTGTGGAGTTGTACTTAATTACAGTGCTTGAGTAAGTAGCATTGCATTCCACCACTGCTCATAAGCATCAGAAAGGCAGGGCAATGAGACAGAAGCAGAGAGAGAGGGGGAGATTTAGAGAGCCCGTCCTCACCATCCAGGGCGTCTCTGAGCTCGTCTTTGGTCCAGGCCACCTCGGTCATCAGCAGACGGAGGTAGTACATGGCATGCTGGTGCGGCTGCTCCGCTCTGAAGTTATTCAGAGACCTCATGTACTGCAGGGAGGAAGAGTGGTTCAACATCAACACGCTATGAACTGGAGTCTGTTGAAATTACTGTAGCGTATCAGAAATACTTTACTTCTCGTGTACTGTAAAGCTGAGTTTAAAAGGCTATTAAGCGAGCTAATCAATACATTGCAAGTCATTCTTCTTATCAATAATCATAACTTTGTAAGAATGACTGAATGAGTTGCAGTTAGAGCGTACCGCTTCTTTGATGATATCGAAGCGCTTCTCGTCGATCTCGAAGGTAGTCATCTTTTCCATGATCTTCCTCAGCAGGATGTGCTGCTTGTCACTGTAGCCTTTCACACACAGCTGCAATACAGATGGAGCATTATCGATAAACAGAAACATCAGTAGGAGCTGAAACTGGAGTTTCATTTGAAGTTTGACCAGTTTATGGATTCATTTATGAATTTTGTGTGGAAATGTGGCTGACCAAATGTTTGTCAAGGAAAACCATTGGACCCCTGCTTAAGGTGAGTCAACACTGCACGATTTGGAAAGAATAACCAATTGAAAATTGTTTTGACATGATGGGGAATTAAACTATTAATTTGGCCGACGTACTGCACCTCAGACAGCATTCCCTCTCGCCTTCTCAGAGCTGTTTTCGAATCAGTTGGAGCAAGTATTATTTTATTACTAATAAACACCTCTCGTCTCTCAGGATGTGTCCCAGCTGCCTTCAAACATGCCGTGGTGCAGCCACTACTTAAAAAGAAAGATCTCGACCCCTCCATTCTCGCAAATTGTAGGCCCATCTCCCAGCTACCTTTTTTATCTAAAGCCCTGGAGCGAGTAGTCTATGCCCAGCTACAGTCGTTCTTAATCACGCATGGCATCCACAAAAAGTTTCAGTCTGCCTTCAAACCTATGCACAACACTGAAACAGCACTTTTAAGAGTTTTTAATGATCTGCTCCTAGCCGCCGACTCAGGTAGCCCAGCTGTCTTGGTGCTGTTAGACCTGACAGCTGCCTTTGACACTGTGGACCATAGCATCCTGTTGTCACGGCTTGAACAGTCCACAGGCATCACAGGCTCTGCCCTTGCATGGTTCAGGTCCTACCTGACAGACCGTAGCTTCTCAGTGCAGCTGGGTGCCTTCTCCTCTGCTAAAGCCCCTCTTACCTGTGGGGTTCCCCAAGGCTCGATTCTGGGCCCCATCCTTTTTCTACTTTACATACTGCCCCTAGGTTCAATTCTCACAAAACACAATATCCCCTTCCATTGTTACGCCGATGATGTACAGATCTATCTGCCTCTCAATTCAAAGGTCAACTCACTACAGCAGTTGATGGACTGCTTAGCAGAGATACAAATCCTGGCTGAGACAAAAGTCCTAAACCTAAACGAGAGTAAGACTGAGGTCATCTTTTTTGGCACACAGGGGGATAGGG